TTAGATTTACTTTGTGGATGTGACTTTCAAAGAATAAGCCTATTTTATGTTAACAAGAATGTTTTATGGGTAATTTTTCCATACAGCTTCAGGCTTTACTTTTAGACTTGTATAGTAGAATTTAGGACTTGTATAGTAGAATTAAATATTTGTATGACTGTATCTCTGAGGAAATTGGCATGTTCAATATACATGGTAATTAAGAAAGAGGTTACCCCTAGTTAGTTTGACTCAGTGGATAGAACATCGGCCTGCAGACAGAAGGGTTCTGGGTTCGATTCTGGTCAGGGGCACATACCTTGGTTGCAGGCTTCTCTCTGGCCTAGGCCCTGGTTGGGGCTCTAGAAGGAGGCAAACAATCAATGTGTTTCTCTCACATTTATATTTCTCTTTGTCTTTCCTTCTCTCTTCCACTCTCCCAAAAATCAATGGAAAAAATATCCTCGGGTGAGGATTACTATGTTAATTAAAAAAAGAAAGGTTGATGTGAGGAAGAGATAAAGGGAGATGAATGGGATGTGAAAAGGATAAAGTATATGATTGTATATTTTGGATCTTTTTTTTTTTTAATATATTTTATTGATTTTGTACAGAGAGGAAGGGAGAGAGATAGAGAGCTAGAAACATCGATGAGAGAGAGTCATCGAACAGCTGCCTCTTGCACACCCCCTACTGGGAATATGCCTGCAACCAAGGTACATGCCCTTGACCGGAATCGAACCTGGGTCCCTTCAGGCCCCAAGCCGACGCTCTATCCATTGAGCTAAACCGGTTTCGGCTGACTAGAATCAAACCTGGGACCCTTCAGTCCGCAGGCTGATGCTCTATCCACTGAGCCAAATCAGCTAGGGCTATTTTTTACATTTCTTTATTCAGACACCAAAACTATTTAATAGGAGAAAGTGGTAATAACTTTTGTAAGAGGGGAGTTGCTTTTGGAAAATGAATTTTCAAGTTTACTTCTTATTTGGAGGTTACACATTAATGGAAAGAGAGAAGTTATTGAATAAATATGAAACTGCAAATTTATTTCACCTTTGTTAGGAATTGAGTAGGGAACTTTACAATGCCTTTAAAAAAGACTCTTTAAGATTTTACATAATAATATTTTGCAAATTTTACCTTAAAATTAATGTCATTCTTTTCTTTTCTTTAATTTAGCTTCTCAGAATCAAGAACGTCTATGTGCATTTAAAGATCCTTATCAACAAGACCTTGGGATAGGCGAGAGTCGAATCTCTCATGAAAATGGAACCATATTATGCTCAAAAGGCAGCACCTGCTATGGACTCTGGGAGAAATCAAAAGGGGACATCAATCTTGTAAAACAAGGCAAGTACTACTTTTCTTACATGATATAACTTTGTGTTTTATAAAATTGAAGTTTATCTGAAAAGCATTAAAACTCTCGCCTGGAAAACAGTATTTTTTTTTTTTTTAAGAAAAAGTTTTTATTAATTTAAGCTTAGATTCCAATCCCCCAAAGAGAATTCAAATAACAGGGTTAACTTAGGGGTAGAAACACCCCTCCCCCCCAAACCCCCATCTAAGAACCAGTTTGTTTGTTTATTTATTTATTTATTTATTGTTCCCATCCCACCTTTGGCCCTTTCCCCACCCCCCTTTGTCCTATCCATAGGTGCACAGTTTATGTTCAGTCTCTTCCCACATACCCCTCTCCCCTTTTCCCCAAGAATCGTCAGTTCACTTCCCTTCCATACCTCTGATTCTATTATATTCAACAGTTAATATTGTTCATCAGATTTTTTTTTTAATTCCCTTGGTTTTTAGATTCACTTGTTGATAGTTACGTATTTGTTGTTCATAAATTTTATCTTTATTTACTTTCTCTTCTGAAAGAACCCCCTTCAGCAATTCATATAATTCTGGTTTGGTGGTGATGAACTCTTTTAGCTTTTTTTTTTTTTCATTAGTGAAGCTCTTTATCTGGCCTTTGATTCTGAGTGATAGCTTTGCTGGGTAGATTATCTTTGGCTGTAGGTTCTTACTATTCATCACCTTGAATATTTCTTGCCATTCCCGTCTGGCCTGCATGGTTTCTGTTGAGAAATCAGCTGACAATCGTATAGGTGCTCCTTTATAGGTAACTACCTGCTTTGCTCTTGCTGCTTTTAATATTCTCTCTTTGTCTTTTGCTCTTGGGATTTTAATTATGATTTGTCTTTGTGTGGTCCTCTTTGGATTCCTTTTGTTTGGAGTTCTGTGTGCTTCCTGGACTTGTAAGTCTAATTCTTTCACCAGGTGGGGGAAGTTTTCTGTCACTATTTCTTTCAGTATGTTTTCGATATCTTGCTCTCTCTCATCTTCTGGGACCCCCATAATTCTGATGTTAGTTTGCTTGAAGTTGTCCCAGAGGTTTCTTACATTATCTTCAATTTTCTGGATTCTCTTGTCTTCTTGCTTCTGCAGAAGAGTGTCTTCTGGCTCTTTATGTTCCCAATCTTTTAATTGATTCTTGCAATCTTCCATTCTGTTTTTAGGACTCTGTATAATATTTTTTATTTCAGACAATGTATTCTTTATTTCTTGTTGATCCCTTATCATTTCTCGTTGATTTCTTATTTCTAGTTGATCCCTTTTCATATCCTCATAGGTCTTATCCATCTTTTCCAGGAAATTCTTAAAAAACCTTATAAGTGTAGATTTGAACTCTATATCCAGTCGCTTTTTGTCCTCCATTTCTTTCATTTGAGATCTATTTCGTCTTGGCATTTTTGCAGTTTCCCAGATGGGGCAGGGTTTCAGGGTGAAGCTTACCGCCTTCGCTTCCGTCAGCCCCGCCCTATGCGACTCCTGAGTCTCAGGGTCCTTCAGTACTCGCTGCAAGCACCTCTGAGAGAAAGGTGCCCTTGATTTTCACCTGCTCCCAAACAGTCTAGTCTCTCCCCCAATGAGCCCTGTATTGGGGTTCAGTTCAGTTGGAAGTGGGATTGGAGGTGGCGTTCAGAGCAGTCTGGAGTCCCAGTCTCCTTCCCGCCAGGGCAATCCCGCGGCACAGCCAACTGTCCCTTCTCTGCGTGCAATGTGTGCGCCTCCGGGATCTCCTTTCACCGCTCCCCCGGGGCTCTGCCTTACAGCCCAGCTCCCTATGGATGAGCCTGGGTCCCCGGGGTCTGGCCTAAAACGGGTTCAGAGCAGTAGGAACTGGGGCCCAGCACAGTCAGAGCTTTTATCTCCTTCCCGCTAGGGAATGCCAGCCAGGCACTCAGCCTCCCTCCTCTCCAGCTCCGTCCTATCCGTGCACATACTGCATGTCTCCTTACCTTAGGCTTTTCCAGCTCCTCCGCGCTTTCTTCTGGTTTTCTCCTTGCTTCTCATTGTAGAATTTCCAGTCAGTCGACTTTTCTGTAGTTCTGGGTAATGTTCATTTTATATTTTAGTTGTATTTTATTGAAATTGTTATGTGCTAGGTGTTTACCTGTGCAGCCATCTTGGATTCTCCCTGTCATCCGGAAAACAGTAATTTAGAAGTATATATCCATGTATATAGTTACTCGCAAACCGAAATTTGTAAATAGACTTGATTTTTAGATGATTTTAATAATATATTTTTTTATTATAATAATATTAATATAGCCTTATTGTATGAAATTTAGAAAAACAGGAACCTAAGAGAAATAAACACATACAATTTCATACTCCTAAGAATTTTTTAAAACTCTATTTATTCTTTTAGGTGTGTTTTCTGTGTTCTTCTGTGTTTATACATGTGTGTACTTTTTGTTACCCAAAGTTAGGATAAACTGTATAAATGGTTTCACATCCAATTCTTTTCTTTTTAAAAAAATATATATTTTATTGATTTTTTAGAGAGAGGAAGGGAGAGGGATAGAGAGTTAGAAACATCAATGAGAGAGAAACATCATCAGCTGCCTCCTGCACCCCCTCCCCTCCACTGGGGATGTGCCCACAACCGAGGTACATGCCCTTGACCGGAATTGAATCTGGGACCCTTCAGTCCGCAGGCCGATGCTCTAGACACTGAGCCAAGCCAGTTAGTGCCAATTATTTAAAAAAAAAATTTTTTTAAACTATTGATTTGGGAAAGAGAGAAATGTATTTGTTGTTCCACTCGTTTATACATTCATTGGTTGAGTCTGGAATGTGCCCTGACCCAGAATCAAACAGATTTCCTTGGCCTATCTGGACAATGATCTAACTCAGTGGTCGGCAAACTGCAGCTTGCCAGCCACATGTGGCTCGTGAGCCGTGGTTTGCTGCTCTGTTGACTAATGTGTTTGCCAACCACTGTTCTAACCAACTGAGTACCCGGCCAATTTTTTTTTAATCTTAAGTTATATTATGAATGTTTCCCCAAGACTGTGTGTGTGTATGTATATATATATAAAAGATTTTTAACCTCTGCACAGTATTTCATTGTATACAACATATGACAGTTTACTTACACATTACTCTGTTGGTCATTATGTTGTTTTCTGGTTTTCACTGTAATACATACTACTTCAGTGAAAATCTTTGAAGATAAATCTTTGACCCTATCTAATTATTTCTTTGAAATAGATACCTCGAAGTAGAATTATTAGATTTTAAAACATGAATATTTTCAAGGCTGTTCAGAAAAATTGCCATGTGGTTTTCTAGAAATGCTATGTACATTTACATTTCCTCCAATATTGTGTGAGAGTGTCATTGAATCCTTGTTACAGTAGTATATTATTACTTTTATACTTAGATAAGTTAAATGTAGACAGAAATGAAATTTTACTGTTGCTTTAATAATTCTTATATTAATGATTTAGTTAAACATTTTGTTGTTGGCTCCCCTACCCCATGAAATGCCTCTTTAAATTTTGCCATTTTCCTGTTATTTAAAAAAATTGTTTTCTATTGATGTGCAAAAGTATTTTATAACTGACATACTCACTCTCACATTGATTGCAATTATTTCTTAGTTTGTTGTTTTCATTTTCTTTTATCATATTGGTCCTTAACATGCTTACATTTATATCAATTTGTAGGCTGTTGGTCTCACATTGGAGATCCTGAAGAGTGTCTCCATGAAGAATGCATTGTAACTACCACCCCTCCTTCAATTCAGAATGGGACATATCGTTTCTGCTGCTGTAGCACAGACTTGTGTAATGTCAACTTTACTGAGAATTTTCCACCTCCAGATACAACACCACTAAGTAAGTAGCTAAAGTAACTTACTTGTCCTTGTAATTCCTTTCTCCAAAGATTTGCAAAATTAAAAAATATATACAAACAGCCATAGCCGATTTTGTTCAGTGGATAGAGCAATTGGCCTGTGGACTGAAGGGTCCCTGGTTCGATTCCAATCAAGGGCACGGACCTCAGTTGCAGGCTCCTCCCTGGCCTGGAGCCCTGGTCACTGCATGGACAGGAGACAACCAGTCTGTGTGTTTCTCTCACATCATATTTTTCTCTTATCTTTCCTTCTCTTTTCCATTCTCTCTAAAAATCAATGGGAAAATATCCTTAGGTGAGGATTAAAAAAAAATACACACACACACACACACACACACACACACACACATTTTTTCCCCCCAAGCATTCACATTTGGCAGAAGTGAGAGGGAGAGTTCTAGCATCATGAGACTATATTTAGGTAACACCTGAAATGCAAAAGCAGTGCACTGGGATTACCAAGGCTTTGATATATTACCAAGTGAATTAACATATCGTACGTTCCTGCTCCTGTGGAGGAGAATTTGGCAATATTAAGAAAACTGCATGTGTTTACTCTTTCATCCAGTACTCCCATTTGTTAAGAATTTGAAGATACACTTCCACTAGTATGAAAATACATGTGCATAATGTTATCCATTGCAGTATTATTTATAACTGCATAATATTGGAAATTTTCCAAATGTCCAAGAATAGCTGATTACTTGAAATACATTATGGTATGTACCTTTAATGGAGTACTAGCTATGCAGCTGTAAGAAAAAAAAATTAGTAAGATCTTTATGAACTGATATGGAGTGATTTCTAGAGATAATTTTAGGTGAATAAAAAGCATGCATAGTATACTGTTTTTCATGAAGGTCCAAAAGCTTATCTTTACAAAAACCATCAAAGAAAGGATAAGCCAGAAAAGAATAAAGTTTTTTACTTAACAGGGATGGAGGGATGGGAGCCGTGGAGTGGAAAGGATATAGGAAGTAGTGACAGTTCTCTGAGTATAGCCTTTTAAATGTGGTTTTGACTTTTGGAATCTTGTGTGTGTGTGTGTGTGTGTGTGTGTGTGTGTGTGTGTGTGTGTATATGTGTATATATATATATATATATATATATATATATATATATATATATTAGTAACATGTATATATGCAAAAAATGAAATTAAATCACTAAGAAAGGGAAGGGGGAACCTCCAAACTAAAATAAAAATGAAACAGATGAGCATAATTGTATCATAATCACATTTAAGGGAAAAAGAAAAAACTAATATAAGGATTTTTACAAAGATAATTTTTTGCTATATATATTCTTTCAGGTGAGATGGGATATAAAAAATGGCGGAAGAACTGCAAACAAATACTGAACTCCTTTTAAGATTGTTTTTAGTAATGTGGAAAAAGCAATTCTAAAACAATTGTAGATGTATTATATTATAGGATTAAGAAAATGGCTAGCCCTAGCTGATTTGGCTCAGTGGATAGTGCCAGCCTGGGGACTGAAGGGTCCCTGGTTCGATTCCAGTCAAGGGCATAGTTATGTAGTTATGTCATCTTGTAGTTATGTCGCCATCTCCTATTTATTTATATAAAAAAAGTTCTGTCATTTCAACATCTGTTCATATGTGCTTTATATTTTTATTATTTATTTACCACAAGTAAAGGTCGGGAATTGTTATCTTTCTTTTAAACTTTTTTACTGTTTCACTTCATTACTGCTGTGTATGTGCTCCATGTGAGTGAAATATGTGCTTATGTAGATGGGTTCTAACTTAGGGTGAAAATCGAGTTACGTTGCGCCATAGGAATGGATCTTCGACGTAATCCGGTATATAGAATTAAATTAAATTACAATTTTCAGAATAATTAAGTTCCTCATACATTGTCAAATAGGTTTTGGTAGAAACAGTTCACATTTCCATCAGCGGTATACAAAGTGCAATTTTTATCAGCACTAGTATTATTAAAATAAAACTTTGCTGTGATCATTTTGAAAAGTGATTTGCTTTGTTTTTATTAGCGAGGTTCACATGTTTTTTGTTTGTTTTCTATTTTAAATTTCTTATATTTATTGCCCATTTGTATTGTTATTTTTCAAGAATGAAGCTAACTAGCTTTGAAATAAAAGATTAAAATAGTCTGAAATCTAGTCATTTCATCCCTTCTTTGCCTTTTTCTGTTGATATTGATAGTTTTTGTTGATAGGGATGGCAGGAGCTACATTTTAAATAATAATTTAATATGTTCTCCCATTCAGTGGATTGTCTTTCATTTTGTTGATAGTTTCCTTTGTTGTGCAAAAACTTTTTATAGAGAACATGTTCACCAGTGATACATCTGATAAGGGGTTAGCATCCAAAATTTATAAAGAACTTATGAAACTCAACACCAAAAAACCCCAAACAATCCAATTTAAAAATGGGCAAAAGACCCAAATACACACTTCTTCAAAGAAGATATACAGATGGCCAATAGACATAAGAAAAGATGCTCGCTCACCATCACTAATCATCAGAGAATTGCAAATTAAAACTACAATGAGATATTACCTCATATCTGTCATAATAGCTATAATCACTATATTAACAACAACAAGTGTTGGTGAGCATATAGAGAAAAGAGAACCCTCGTGCACAATAATTTTTATTATTTTTATTTTATTTTTATTTTTAAATATATTTTATTGATTTTGTACAGAGAGGAAAGGAGAGAGATAGTCAGAAACATCGATGAGTGAGAGTCATCAATCAACTGCCTCTTGCACACCCCCTACTGGGGATATGCCTGCAACCAAAGTACATGCCCTTGACCAGAATCGAACCCGGGACCCTTCAGTCCCCAAGCCGACGCTCTATCCACTGAGCCAAACCGGTTTCGGCTGCACAATAATTTTTAAAACATGCAACACCTGACTGTTTAGTCAGGAACAATGATCTTTTCCCTTAGATTGTAAAACAAACAAACAAACAAACAACAAACTAAAAAACAACCACAAAAATGACAACAGCCAACACAACAATAGCTGTACAGTGTGAATGAATCAAAATTATGCCTATATTTTTTGTCAGGTCAGCAAAAAAATGTCTTTTCTGGAGAGCTGCAGAATTTTAGTTGTTAGTTTAAGTGTGCCATGAGATGAAAAAGGTTGAAAACTATTGCTTTAGGGAACAACAGAGGATACTTAATATACTCTTTTAATCTACTTGTGTCTCTACATTGTTTTCAGATGAACAATTTACTTCCTGACATCAGGCCATTCATTGAATTACTGGAATTATATTTTTCTCGCCAAGTATGCATTTACACAATATCCACCATCACATTTACTTGCCTTCTCACTTGCACTTTCAGTAGGGTCAAACCTAGTAGCTATGAAGAAATGTATGGATGGCTGAGAATAACAAGATATAGCTCTCTTCCCTCAGAAAAATGTTGTTTTGTGTGTTTTTTCCCAACCACAGTTGCGGGTGAAGATCATGAGATACATAAGTGGTATAAACCAAAGCATATGGTAGCAGTGCATCTTTTTTCTTTTATAGCAGTGGATCTTTAAGATTAATGTAGGGAAGTAGGGAAAACCTGACAGACTAATCTAACCACATGACTATAAGTGAATGTATTTTGCTGAGCCACAAAATTTCACATTAAAATCATTCAAGGAGCTGAAATCGGTTTGGCTCAGTGGATAGAGCATCGCCTGCGGATGCCCAGGTTCGATTCCGATCAAGGGCATGTACCTTGGTTCCAGCACATCCCCAATGGGAGGTGTGCAAGAGGCAGCTGATCGATGATTCTCTCTCATCAATGTTTTTAACTCTCTATCCCTCTCTCTTCCTCTCGGTAAAAAATCAATAAAATATATTTTTTAAAAATCATTCGAGGATTACTTTGATGTAGAATTATGGGATTAGAGCAAGGTTACTCCATTTCCCTCTAATTCTAAATATATATTTTTTAAATTACAATTTTGTGTAGTCTTAAAAACTGCCTTACATAGGTTTTTTGTTTTGTTTTCGTTTTGTGGTTTGTTTTTTTTAGAGCTAATTAGGGGCACAAGTAAATGAAATATCCGTAGACTATTTATTCTGGCTTTCCTAAACATTTTAACAGAATGGGAAGTCTACTGATGCTTTTTGTTGAGATATGAATGAAATGTCTGTTTAAAAATTATTAAATAATTATTTATTAAAGTTGGAAAAAGGTATGCGAACATTGTTATGTACCATAAAAGTAAGGTTCGCTTTGGACTGTAAATCACCAATGACTTCTGTCACTAGCTATCTGTTCTTAAAAAAAGCTTTTTCCTCCAATCTCAACATCTGAAGTAGATTATACATGTTGTTTTCTTCCATTTAGAAGAATTATTAGCCTTTAAAATAAAAAGGGAAATAATGGAAAAAGAACTTCTGATATTTAAAAATAGATGCCAGTTATTTTGTTGATCTGAAGTTCAGGTCTGAGGTTTCCATAGAGTGCTTATAGCATATGTTCAGCCAGAAACCACATTATCAGATAATTCTCCAAGACAAAACTGACTATAAGTGAGGATATTTATGGATTGATAACTCATATTCTAGGTCTTAATACTTCAATTATTATTTTTTCAAAGATTTCCTTTTATACTGGCAACTTTAAAAAATACTTGCCAGTAGTTCTGTGTCTATTTAGAATATAGTTAGAAGTAGACCTGAATCTGGACATAATTTTGGAATTAAGGAGATGAGGTAATTTTCTTCTTTTGAGATCTTATTTTCTGAAACCCTGTCTTTTTTCTTAGAAAACCATTCCTCTTTGTATCCAGTATGACTTGGTAACCTTTTCAGGCACTGTTCTTCCTTTCCCCATCAACAAATGCTGTTCTTAGTTCTGTTTCCCCCTGGCCTTAAGATATTAGTGTTAGATATTTATTTAATGGGTCTTGCTTCATAAAATACTTGAAGTAAACGTAAGATTCTTAGAAAATATTATTCCAGATGGGATGAATCTAG